CATTACACATGACTGTGGTGTATAATATCAGAGTACTGTGTAATCCTGTTAAACTCATGTCATGTTTAACACGTTACTTCTCTTATTTCTTTGTCATTTTCTTGTAAAATTGTCTAAAGCCTGCAGCAGCAGCAGCAGGTGTCCGGCGGTGGAGTGCTGGTTAGTACAGGAGAATGTGAATCGAAGAGGAGCGACAACCCAGGAAAAGTTTCTGCTTCATATCACAACAGACGTTAACAGCCGAGATGCAGCGTCAGAACAGATTCCTTCCGACGTCAACCCAGACACCGTGTTCTTTATTACAGGTGAGCTCCCAATGAGACTTACACCGATGTGAGATAGATATTTATCAAAGTTGACAATCTACTTTAAATAAAGATGGACGACATGACAGCTCCTTAAAAGTGAAGCCAAAATGTCTCCTTAACTTTGTGTCTCTGTCCTCAGACCCGGCTGCCACGCTCTGCCACCAGTCCCTCAGCCCTCCCCCCAGAGGCTCGGAGCAGAAGGCTCAGTGTGAGATCAGCCCCTTCCTGCATCAGCCCTCCACGCTCAAATGGGTTTCTCCTCTCACGGTCTCTGGCTTCAGCCCCGTGTACCTGCAAGCGGATTGGTTTTCGGCTGCGCTACTGGGGCTCAACAAACAGCTGGTCATTTCCAGCATCATGAGGGCTCCCACAGCCACCAAAGAGCCGAATGGTAATGACTGAGGAAAATCTTAATCCTACCTGAGCCGTATGTGGTTGTTTGGGTCTCTCTCTCCTCACTGTCTGTTTCCTCAGTGATCCTGACTGTCACCAGTAAAACCGTCTCGGTGCAGGCCCGGCTCGGGAAGCCAGTGCTGCTGGACTGTGGTTTCTGGGTGGATCCTTCCTCGCCTCTGTCCGGGTCGGGTTTCGCCGTCGAGTGGCGTTACCAGTTCAGAGGCAAAGGACAACTGGTTCTGGCTTACGACGGCAAGTCAGACCGCGTGGCTGACACCCAGGAGGAAGGGGCCAGACTGGACTTTGAGGGTTTGCACAAGAACGGAAACGCATCCCTGATCCTGCAGGAGACGAAAGTGCGTCACTCCGGGACGTATATTTGCACGGTGTATCTGCCGTACCTTCAGGCTCAGGTGGCGATGGAGCTCGAGATTGTAGGTGAGGGGAAAGTTTTCACCACTGTTGTTTGTGAGTTGTTTTTTTGCAGCCTGAGTTTAAGGAATCTGGATGATGTGAGGAAATTGTGCTCACATCCAACAACAATCAACATTCGTTCCTGTTGGCGTTCGTGCACAGCATCTGCTTTCAAACCACACTGAAATAAACGAGCTAGAGAATTAGCTGTAAGCTCTGTAATAAACCTGATTTCATTGGGAACAAAAGTAAAATTATTAACTTTCTCTTTTGTTTCAGAACCTCCATCCCTCTCCATCCACCCCTCCCCCTTGCCCCTCGCTGTTCCTGGACAGACTTTGGTTGTCCAGTGTGAAGCGTCGGGCTTCGCCCCACTCTCCCTGGAGATGAGCTGGGAGTTTAAAGGCGCCGATGGGAAGTCCAGGCCTCTGGAATCAGCCAGCGTGACGGGCCACAGGCAGGCGTGGGATGGCACCTACGGCCAGAGTGCCCGGCTGGAGCTGGACACCTCTAACGTGGGCACCGGGGGAGAGCTCACCTGTGTGGCCGTCCACCCTGGAGGCACACGACGGGCCAGCACGTCCCTCAGTGTCATCGGTAATGTGGAAGAATTTGGTTTTGTTCACAGAAGATACGAGTAAAATATGAAATAAAATCAAAGAGACAAAATGATGTTGAGGTAAAACTGATGTTGTTTTTCACCCTTTTCATTTCACCCTTGAGAGAAGCAGCTTTTTATGGTGGATAAGATCATTTTAACTAATTTGCTTAATGTGACAGTGAAATGTTAGAGACTCATGAATCATTTTCATCCTGACCGACAACAAAGATTCTGATATGAGAGATTCCATTAAGACTTATTTGTGTCTTCTTTGCTTTGACAGGATTCGGATCCCCGTCTATTGAGGACTCAATGGCAATGGTTGGTGTGGCGCTCCTGCTCTACGGGCTCATCAAGTTTGTCTCCTGGACCTTTTCCAGCTCAGGTATCAAATTAAACAACAGCAATTGACCAGAAACATTATTTCTAAACTGAGTGTTTTGAATGATCTGAACCATTTAGTAGTTTCAAGCTGCACAAGGCTTGAAACTCTCTTATCATCCATCCAGTAATTCCAGAAACCTCGGTCTGTCTGTGTTTTGCACATCTCGAGAACCGTTCATGTTAACAGCTTTTCGTGCGTATTCAAGACATCATGTTGAAGACACAGAACTCTGATTGTGCAGTTCAGGTTCCGCACTGAGTGGAACTTCTCTGAACTTTGAATAAACAGGTGAACGGCTCTCTGTGCAGCAGCAGCAGCTCTTTACTTCACCTTCTGTGGACTGAGTCCGGTCACTTTTACAGTTTCAGACCAAACACACATTCCAAACAGACGCCACGTTCATGTTAACACAACTGAATCCAACTAAATCTACTTGAAAATACAGCATCAGATACGTCGACATGTTTTTAATTGTTGTCTTTTCTTCTGTTGTTTATTTCACTGTTTACAGACACTGATGTGGCAGATGAA